TGTCCAGGTGTGAGCCAAAGCTATGGTGGTATTTCGTAGTAATCGTTCTTGCCCAGAGCGCATTTGGTTCCGTTTTGAGCCTCCAACAAAGCTTCATCATACAAGCCACATTCATGGTCTGCAATTTCCTTAAGCCCAAGCCTCCACACGTTTTATCCGCAGTGATTGTGTCCCAGGCCACCAAACTCATCTTATTGCTCCCGGATTGTTCGTCACGGCCCCATATGAAACGCCTGGTCCTTTTCTCTATCTCCGAACAGACACCCTTAGGGAGGGCTGCCGTTTGCATAGTATAAATCGGGATGGCGTTCAGTACCGATTTTGCCAAAGTGACTCGCCCGGCTAGCGAGAGAGTCTTTGCTTTCCATCCTTCCAGTCTGGCAGAAATCCGATCTAAAAGGCCCACATAAGTGTTGCATGTTACCCGGCCATGTAAAGAAGGCACACCAAGATATCTCCCCAGATCTTTCGTTTCTGCGATATCCAGCTTAGCAGCTATTTCTTGTGCAATTCCGGGGGGAGTATTTTTCAAAAAAAATACTTGTGATTTAATAAGACTAACTTTCTGCCCCGAAGCTTCACAAAACGACTTTAAACATTCCTGGACCACTTCCACTTGCTCGTATGTCGCCTCGGTAAAAAGGACCATGTCATCTGCAAAACAGAGGTGAGATAAAATAGGTCCCGATGGGGCCAATTTAATACCTTTCCAAACCTTGTTGTTCACCTTTGACGCAATTAGGTGGCTAAGCCGTTCCATACACAAAACAAAGATAGCCGGGGACATTGCGTCGCCTTGGCGAATACCCCTCGTTGGTGTGAACTGTTCCAATCGGTCTCCGTTCTAAATTAATGCCAACCTGGACGAGGAAATACAAGTCATTATAACATTGATCCAAATATCATTAAAGCCTACCCGTTCCAGAGTGTCCTTAAAAGATTTCAATAGAATTTTCTTAATAATATATTTTGCAACATTGATTTTATTTATAAAAAAAAAAATAGATACTAATATGTTTGAGTAATAATTGGTGATCAATGTCATTTTAATATAATGAACCTTAGCTTCACTCATATTTGATACATCTAAATTTTTTAATAATTTATATATTATAATTATGAACTATGCTCCATGATGCAAAGTGGATCATGATCAATGATATATGTAATTTGTTGTATCTTCAATTCTAATGATTGTTTAAGTAATAATATCATTGTTTTGAGAAGAAAAAAACGATAATTTAAGTGGAAAAACTTTATGTTTTTTTTTGAAAAGGAAAAACTTTATGTTGAATTGGTTAAATTTTATATAAGTAATTCTTGACTCATTGCCAACTCGTTTATTATTATCCACTCTAAATTTAAAATGGCTTTTCAAAAAGATGAATAGCTTAGTGGATCAACCTCAAAGCATTAGATATGAACCCAACATTTACTTAGATAAACAAATATTATCCATTTACATAAAAGGTATAAAATTACATTAATATTGATATTTTATATTGAGTACTCATCCCGTGGTCATCACTCATAATATATTTATGTTTTGTTAAGATCGAGTTAAACTTTAAAAATACATACAAGATATATATTTTGTTAAGATCGAGTTAAACTTTAAAAATACATACAAGATAAAATCTCTTTTTTTAAAATATATATGTAGATATGATAGTAAATAAAGATGGTTGAAATGAGGAGTGTGTATATGAGAGGCCTAAAATAAGTGCTTTATATAAAAGTATAATTACACTACACATGCATGCATGCAAGTATGTTATATGTATCAATCGACTTTCCGTGAGAGTGATTTATTAACTTTTCTGGTTTAAGTCGGTAAGTGATTCTTTGTCAATTAGAGTCACAAATTAAGATTTACCTAGTGCACACCCTCAAGTAATTATTGCGAGTTTGTCTCAGTCACAAGAAATATATATATATATATATATATATATATATATATATATATATATATATATATATATATATATATATATATATATATATATATATATATATATATGGTCCGGATCAGGTGAGGACCTAATCTTACGTGAGGACGTAAGGACTAATCTAGACCATTAAATCAGAATGATGTAGGGCTGAGATTAAAAGGAACAAATCACACGGATTAAGAAAATAAATCCCTTTAAAATATTAAAATATATAAATTTAGGGTAAATCAGTCTTATTAAAAGATGTGCATTCCTATACAAAATGTTGTGCATTCCTATACTGAGTGTTGTGCATCGATAACTTTATTTGTTGTGCATTCTAACCCCGCCAAAAAATCATAGTGGACATCCCAATGTCATACGATGCACTGAACTATGTGCTATAATGCACAACTCTCTAGCCTATAGTGTACAACTTACAACACTAGGTTGCACAATCAACACACACGAATGCACAATCGTACTACCCAAGCATTTATACATATACACGACGATCCAAATATAGACAATATTATACTCAAAAGAACGAGCGAAAAAAAATAAAAAATACTGATTAGTTTGCATGGGCGAACACTCAATCAATAATGAAGAAATCGCGGCTCCAAATTGCAACGGTGATGATCCAAGGAAATAGGAAACCAATTTGGCCAAGGATTACACATGCGTTCACACTTTAAAAAAAAAAAAAGAAAAAGACACTACTACCCCACTTTAACAAAAAAGATCAATCCATGTCATCTCAAGAACTCAAATCTGGGTGACTGGGCCATCCAAATAAAAAAACAAACGCACAAGATTAGTCTTCACGTCCTCACCTAAGATTAGGTCCTCACCTGATCCGGATCCTATATATATATATATATATATATATATATATATATATATATATATATATATATATATATATATATATATATATATATATATATATATATATGTATGTATGTATGTATGTATGTATGTATGTATGTATGTATGTATGTATGTATGTATGTATGTATGTATGTATGTATGTATGTATGTATGTATGTATGTATGCAGTGGCGGACCCAGGAATTTTTTTCAACGAGGGCAAAATATTAAAGGAAAATTGATAATTAGAAAAAAAAATGAAACACTTAAAAAGTATAACCATAAATAATGTTGGATATAGGAAAATTATAAAACACATCAAAACATTATAAAAATATTCATAACAAAATATGAATATACTCAATTTGATAAAATAATTTGAATAAAAGATCCATTATAAATTACACATCTCATCTCATTATTAATATCAATGAAGATTATATTATTGTGTTGAAGCAATATGCACTATTAATAATATTGAAAATGTGAAATAATGTGAAAAGATAGTGTTAATGGTGAAAACGTGAAATAAAATGTCAAAAAAATTGAAAACAGACCACACGCTCAGCCACAAATTCAAACCTTGGCCTACCTTTAAGCCAATCATACGCTCTACCAACTAGGCTAAGTCACATTCTGTTATCATTTTTCTATTTTTTAATACTTATACTAAAACTTCTACTATATATACACATATACATACAAGGGTTATATAAGAGGTGGGGGTGGGGTGAGTGGGGGCAGCTGACCCCAATGCCCCCACTGTGGGTCCGCCTCTGTATGTATGTATGTATGTTCAAAGTGAATATATAATTGAGAAGAAAAAAAAACAGTTAAGCGGTTTAAAATGTACCATCGGTTCAGTCAACGTAGTGTATCTAAGACAACATTGACTCATCACTCATGATACACATGAGCAACTTAAATGATCGTAATGGTGAAATTTGTCATAAGAGACTAAGAATCGAATCTCATCAATGGCCTGTATTGGATGTACAACTCATTGTTTTGGGTTATGCAACTCACTATTATGAGTTGTACAACTCATTATTTTGGGTTATGCAACCCGATGCTATGAGTTGTACAACTCAGTACAACTCATTATTTTCGGGTTATACGACTTATTATTATGAGTTGTGCAACATATTTGTGGGATTAGTTATTGGGATTATCATTTACTAATTCATGCCCTCAATTTCCTGGATTCAATGTAAATTTGAGTCACATCTAGTCATTGATTTCGTAATAGTCCATATCAATCCACAATTCTCATATATGTGTTAGTTTTGGATTGCCATAGCTGTCTTCATCTATGTCTAGTGACTCATTGGCAATCATGGTTGTCCATTGTCTAATTTATCATAGTGCCAACTCAATCTTTTAGGTGTGGTGAATAGATAACAATTAGTTTTAATTACTCTTTTTCGCTTACTTAAAAGATTAAATGGAGGTTCTATTATACCTTTTTGTCAATTATATACTTTTTCAACTTCTTTACATATAGGAATAAGATTCAAATCCGCCACTGAACGTAACCTGAAAATGCAATTAGGTCACTAAACAAAAAAAAAAATGCAATTAAGTCACTGAACACTCTAAAAACGTACATGCAATTAGGTCACTGAACATTCCAAATGTATGCAATTTTACCGGATAGTAGATTACCATCAATTTTAACAGGTCACCTGCTTCCGTCGTAGCTGAGTTTGGCATTTTGAATAATTTTTAATAATAATTTTAAAATATAAATTTTATTTTTTAAATAAAGTTTAATAATAAATTTTAAATTTTACCTGCTTATCATCGTTTTTTTAAACTTTTTTTTTAAAAATTTATTATTAAATTTATTAAAAATGTCAATTCAACTACTACGTAGCAGGTAACCTGCTAAAATTAAAATTGATGGTAACCTACTATCAAGTGAAATTGCTGGCCTAATGACATTTTCATCGTTTTTTTTTAAACTTTTTTTAAAAAATTTATTATTAAAATTTATTAAAAATGTCAATTCGTAACAGGTAATAACCTGCTAAAATAATTGCTGGCCTTATTACATTGTCATGTTACGTTCAGTAATCAATTTGAACCTTATTTTCCTACATATATAATTATAAATAAATGAAGCACTTAATAAGCTCTGACTTGTATTTTCACCAAAGGGCAACCTAATTTGGGGTTGTTTTTGTTTTGTACCATATAAAATTAATAACTACATGAAATTAGTAGCACTATATGCAACAATATTCAGAGTACAATTCATCAAATACTAAAAAGTAAAAACTCCTAACCTCAAACCTATCCATTTGATCTCTTTACCCCAACAATCTTCTCAAATGGCCCAACCAACAACACTGTTCTTCCTTAACCCAATCAAAAACCAAACATTTTCATATATGCTAACATAATTTATATATCTATACAATATATTGATATTTCCAGCAACGTAACCCCCCATTATGATAAATCATAATCAAGCAAAAAGTGGAAATAGCTAGCTAGCTACCTTGGCCTACCAGCAGCAGGTGGGCCGGATCCGATGTAACCCGACCCTGGTTTTCCGGACCCTCCACCACCGCCCATTTGGTTATACACTCCGGACCCGTATAGGTGTCCGTGATGCTGACCCATCATCATAGCATGAGAACCCATTCCGCCGCTGGCGAACACGCCGCCCTCCCCACCACCGACGTAACTGCCCCCGCTGTTCCCCATATTTGCGAAACTGCCATTACCGCCGCCGTCCTTCTCCTGCCGCCCCGCCATGGCGCTCTTCTCCCCCTCCATGTCCCTGAACCTCTGCAGGTATACCTTCAACGGCTCCACGTACTCTTCGAACCCCAGCGTCGTCATCGCCCAAAGCAGGTCGTCGCCGTTGATCGTCTTCCGCTTCTCCCGCTGGCACTTGTCCGACGCCTCTCCGGTGATGAAGCTTATGAACTCCGACACACACTCCTGGACCGTCTCCTTCGCGTCCTTGGAAATCTTCGCGTTCGCTGGCAGCGCCTTCTTCATAATTCGGCTCACGTTCGCAATCGGGAGGAAACGGTCTTGCTCCCGTTGTGAGCTGTCGCCGCCGTGGCCGTCCCTGTGCCCTCCTGATTCGTTGTCGGAATCCGCCATTGAAGCTAAGTTTTGGAGTATATAAAAAATCAATATTAAAAAAAATACGAAAACTATTTCACTACGACTGATGAAATTAGGGTTTTCATCATTCACACAGCATTTTTGCCCCTAGAAAGTCAACGATTTCACCGGAAATCATCATCAGGAAACATGAATCTAAAAATTTTAAGCAAAAACAAACCTCTACGAACAAAATAGAAAATATAACTGAAAACTAGGGTTTAACAGTAGATAAATTCAAACAACGGAACAGAGAATTCAACTCCAGGAAGCTTAGAACAAGAGCCAATAAGGGAAGAAATCGAGGAAAGAGTTACGAACTGGCCGGGAGGGAAATACGACCGGAAAACTACTCCGGTGACAACACGCCGGAAAGTTTGGAAGAGGAGAAAGACACGGTAGAGGTTGAGATTTTTGTGTTGAGGGGAAGGAGAGAATGTGAGGTCCGTTGGATCAAATGCTATAAAAAAGTAATCGGTCGAGACACGTGGATGAATATCGACCGTCGTTTGTCGATAACGATGCATACCCACAGACCGAATATAGGCCACTGATTGATGGTCCGATGAGAAATCCTGGCCGTCCATGTCGCCTACGGCACGTGGTCGGCTGCCACTGGATATTCTTTATGACCAATGAGGGTGTTATCACGCTTACGTGGACCACCGCCCCGCAATTAATAAACTACGGAGTATTTCTTTTATTTGAGGACTCCTTTTTAATTAGCATTAATGACATTAAAAAGTATTGAGTGCATAAACTCTTCTTTTTAATTAATTTTTTAAAACAAATATTAATTACTTCAAGTATAAGACATTTGATATAAAACATTAAAAAGTCTTCCCATATTAATTATTATTTTGATTAATCTATTTAATTTTTACTGAAATTAATCAAATTATATTTTTTTCATATTTTTTTTTAAATTTATATTGTTCAAAACCTAATAATCTACTTATATATACTAATAAGAGCACAAGAGAGTTAGGCCTATAATGGGTAGAAAAAATGGCGGTCAAATTTTTAAATCAAATGAATTGCTCAGATTGATTAAATTTTTCATATTTTTTTTAAATTTATATTGTTCAAAACCTAATAATCTACTTATATATACTAATAAGAGCCCAAGAGAGTTAGGCCTATAATGGGTAGAAAAAATGGCGGTCAAATTTTTAAATCAAATGAATTGCTCAGATTGATTAAATTTTTCATATTTTTTTTAAATTTATATTGTTCAAAACCTAATAATCTACTTATATATACTAATAAGAGCCCAAGAGAGTTAGACCTATAATTGGTAGAAAAAATGGCGGTCAAATTTTTAAATCAAATGAATTGCTCAGATTGATTAAATTTTTCATATTTTTTTTAAATTTATATTGTTCAAAACCTAATAATCTACTTATATATATACTAATAAGAGCCCAAGAGAGTTAGGCCTATAATGGGTAGAAAAAATGGCGGTCAAATTTTTAAATCAAATGAATTGCTCAGATTGATTAGATTTTATTTTTTTCTTGAGATTTTCTAATTTATCCTTAATGAATATGATTATCCGTTAACTTTTTCGTTAAATATTATCTTTTCCGTTAGTTTCTGTCAATTCACCGTTAACTTACTCATTGATTTTAATAAGAAAGGTCTCAGGTTCGAACCCCATCCCAATCAAATTAAAGTTGACAAAATTAGTACTCTATTTTACTCTTATTAAATTATATATATAATTAATAATTTAGTAGCTACAACAAAAAATAATACATATGCATTTCTTTAATTTAGAATTATGTGTGTACAATGTCTTTATTCAAAAAAAAAATTATTCATTATCAATAAATTAAATAAGAGAAATAATTTCATTAGTTATATTGTCTTTATTTTTCTCCAATGTAAAAATTCTTTACATTCAAATTAATCAATTAATTATATTCACTACATTGTCTATTATCTTTTTTGTGCACTATTTTTAAATTAAATATCAAAGTGATAATACAAAATAATGTTATATATTTATTTACCAAGTATTTTATTAATATCATAAAAAAATTAAAAATTAAAAAAAAAAACATAATTAATAAATTGACTATTTGAGGGATTTGTTGACAAAGAGAGTATTCAAATCACACAACAAATTGAAGTGAGAACTACATCGCAATGTCCTTGTTTGATAATAAGCATTTAGAAGGTTAGCGTTAGTGGATTTGACCAACGAATTATATCAGCGGTTGGTAAAAAGATATTTGAAAAAATTAGTCGTTTAGATTAACATGTGAAATGACCTAAGGGTATAGATAGATTTAATAATAATAATAATAATAATAATAATAATAATAATAATAATAATAATAATAATAATTATTATTATTATTATTATTATTATAATTGTTTTTAAAAAATAAAAAATATATAATTAAGCCAATCATATTAACTACTTGGGTGATTTATTAACAAAAAGAGTATTCAAATCACACAACAAATAGAAGTGGGAAACTATCTCGCAATGTCCTTGTTTGGCAATCAACAGTTATATCTTCAATATTAGTATATATTTAATATTTACGCCCTAATTTTTATTTGCTCTCCCTTATTTCCCGTATTTGGTTTCAATCATACTCATACAATTATTTTATTGACAATTATAATCAATCTTGACTATATTATCTTGCATTTGTAAACTTAGAAAAATACACAAATTCAACATTCAATTATCTATGCATAAACAATTCCAATATAATCTTGCATTAATATATTTTATAGTACTTATTTAAAAAAAAAAAAAAAAAAAAACATTGGGCATTATCTCAATCGCGCAATGCGCGTAAAAAAAACTAGTACCTCTATAATGTTGTAATGCCACCTACAACTATAAAGTTAACAAATTTATTTATTTTACTCATAAATTGGTTGTTTCAATAATAAATCAAATAAACAGTATAGTGTTGTCCCACTCTAAGTCATGTAGTATCTTTTGATAATTTTTGCTCCCTCGTTATTAATGACTGATGTTGTGGTCTAGTATGATATAACTTATATACATATAATTACTTTCAATTATCATGGCATATCCTTTTTTTTCTTTTTTCATATGATATAACTCATATTTCAATTATTAAGAAATGTTGTTCAAAATTCAAATGAGGGCATATCCTTTTTTTTTTTTTTTTTTTTTTGGTAAAAAGTGACGAATAATCACAATTGTCTATTAATGTTTATAATGATGGAATGTTTTAGTTAATCAAGAAATAGGGTTAATTTTATAATTATATAAAATTTTAAATTTATAATATTTATAAAACTAATCCTACTATTTTTCACTTTATCTTTTAACAACTCTGAATTGTTGATCAGATCAGTCATTACTTTTAATCTGGGAGCATATTCTCACATTTAACATCTTTATATATATATATATATATATATATATATATATATATATATATATATATATATATATATATATATATTCTAATTTAAAATTAGTATTCGATGGAGTGACACATTGTTTAGCTTTAAATGTAAGAAATATTAATTAATTCTTTTTAAATTAATTGAATGCAATACTGAGTCCTATCTGTTTGATCTTGACATTTAACTAATGAGGACTTGTTTGTCTCTTCTACTGGATTGTTTATTCAGGTACCCGTCGTTTTAATTTTAAATTGAATGGTTCTTCCTATTCTTAGTATAACGCTAATGTTTAACATATTCTATTGGGTATTACTTATATGAAATATATAAATCTATGAGTGTTTTTTTTTTAGTACTACTGATTCTGTTACAATGTAGTATCTTTTTTAACCTATTAAAGTATAAACAGTCAATACCGTCCCCACTGAAAATTGAATCCATGACTTCCCATTTGGGAGAGTCACTTCATGCCATTAGATTACAAGGTCATTAAACTATGAGTGTAATTCATTATCCATTTGGTTTGCATAAATTTAAATTATTTCCATTAACCATTTAATTTTCATCTTTGGTTGGTGTGAGTGTATTTTTTTTTTTAATGACATTTTTCATTCCAGAACTATAAAAAAAATAATATTTTGCATCCTCCAATTATACTATTACTACCTTTCATCCACAAATGTCTATGAAATGAGATTTTTCGTCTATCAATTTTTTACAAAGTGACTTTTTTTAAAACCCATTTCTAAAATAGCACTTAAGAAAGAAAAAAACATTGTTCAAACAAGTGAGAGACGAAAAATGGAAACAAATATGATGGACAAATAATAAGGGGGCGTTTGGTTCACGGAATGTTAGATTACCTTAGGGAATGTTAGGGTCCGTTTGGAAAGCAGGAAAATGACTTCTGGAAAATGATTCATTTTTCGGAAAACATTTTCCTTTCTTGTGTTTGGCAGCACGGCAGAAAACAGTCTTTGTATGTTTGGTTCATTTTCGGAAAATGAGATAGAATTGTATAATTAATCATTTTATATAATTAATTATTTTATTTAAAATAAAAAAAATTATAATAAAATTTATTTTTTAAAATCAAATAATATTAATGATTAAAAAAAAAAAAATACGGAAGAAACCAGAGAGAACTTCTCTCTGGTTTCTTCCGGCGAGGGAAACCAGAGAGACGTTCTCTCTGGTTTCCCTCGCCGGAAACCAGAGAGAAGTCCTTCTCTCTGGTTCATCTTCACGTTTTTTTTTTTTTTTTTTTTTTTTTTAATAATGTTCGTCGGAAGGGGTTTCCGGCGGAGGTTTCCGCCGGAAACATTGTTGGTGGAGACATGGAGTTGTTTCTGCGTTGAAGGAGGAGGAGGAATTGAAGATAAGCAAGTGTGTTGAGAAGATGGAAAATGACTTCCCCCAAAAAAAAAGGGGAAGTCATTTTCCATAAATTTGGGCTCATTTTCCATTGACTTCTCTTAATTTTCCTTTGACCATTCAATTTTCAGCCTAGCCAAACACCCAAAACCCGGAAAATGATTTCCAGAAGTCATTTTCCGGGTTTCCAAACAGACCCTAAGATTGCTGGGAATGTTAGATTCCTGTGTTTGGTTTAAAACTAAGATATATATAAATAAGACAACGATAATAAGATAAATTGATTAAAAAAATACAAAGCCTAACATTAGTAATAAGGGAATGTGAGATTACCTAAGAAATTGGAGGGTATCTCACATTCCCTTTCAATAGTTAAAAACTTAATGCGGAGGTTATCTGACATTCCCTGAAAAAGTTATATAACCTGAACCAAACATGAGAATCTTATATTACCAAGCAAATATAACCTTGGTTATCTTATATAACCTGAACCACACACCCAACCTTGGTTATCTTATATAACCTGAACCACACACCCCCTAAAAGTGTTATTCTAAATAATTCAATGACAAAAATTGTTATTTTCCTCCTATTTTTAAAAATTTTTTTTTTTGAAATTTCAATTCCTAGAAATGAGAAATTTATATTCCTTTGGCTACTTTAGATTT